CTTCCCATGTTTCAAAGCACCGCTGCAGAGATGACTGCAGGTGTCGCCCGCCACGCCAGGGCTGCTCCAGGTCGGGAGTCTCCCAGAGCAGATGAAAACACAGGGCCACAGCCTGCCTTCCTCAGGAGGAAAGCGTGAACTGGGCCCTTCCCACCCGGGTCTGGCAGAGAGCCACCGTGCATCCAGTTGGTTCTTCCCAGATCCTCCACCTCTGAGGCAGGCCACGCTCCTGCCCCGCCTTCAACTACACACTCGCGACTGGGTCAAAGGCTTTCAGGATCACCCACTCGGGCGGCCACGGGAAACAGCTGCCATCCTTCATGTAGCCGTCCCTGGCTCCCACCACCACCGGTTTACACGACAGGCTCCCTCTCCAGATGCTACAAGAGGCGGGCTATTGCATTAACCAAACTTACTTTCATGTCACTGCATTTCCGACCGTAATTTTCAGTACTGCTGTCTGAATAGAATTTTATATTTTAGAAAAGATTTTCCTCCCATATTCTAATATGATCCTGAAAACAACCAGGTTTTGAGTCCTCTCTCCATCACAGAGGGGAGGACATTAGGGCTCACCGGTTACTTCGGAGATTTAACCACGATGAGCAACCCAGATGCTCAGACCATGAAACCAGGTGTTTCCTGCCCATACCTGTCATTTTCTCCATCGTTTTCATTACAGAGAAGGATCTTTCTGGAGAAGGGAAGCACCTCAAGCCCGGGAGTCTCTGCTAATAGCAGCAGCAGCATCCGAGCTGAGGACTCCACCGCTCGGGGTCCCAGCTCCGCTGAGCCGGGGCCCACTGGGCACTTGGTCTGGGGCCGGGACAGGCACGAAGGGGGCCCCTGAGGGTCACCGGGCGGGCTAGGCTGGGCAAGGTGGAGGGTGAGGGGTTTTCTCCATGGGCAAAGGGAAAAGCTGGGCAAACAAATGGAGTGGAGCCCGTTTATTTAGGCTGGAAGAGGTAGCGTTTTTCTGCACTTTTGAACTGTTTTCTCAAGGCCTGCCTCTCCCTCCCACGCAGGAAACAAACACAGAGACAGGCCTCTTCCAGGGCCGCTCCGGTCGCTGAGGGCTGTGCAGGGAGCGCTGGAGGCCTGGGGCCGGGAGCAAGGAGGACGTGGGCGAGAGCACAGGGTCCTGGGGCAGGCGGAGCCCGCAGAAAAGGTGGACGAGCTGGTGGTGAGCACAGGACAAGGAAGGAGAGCAACGCAGGAAACAGTGGGAACGAGAGGAAATCGCAGAGGAAGTGAACACTGGAAAATCTCAAACCAGAATAAAGGGACAGACGGGGCTGGGAAGAGCCAGCAGCCTACTCCCAATTACCGGTGTCCAGAAAGCAGCGTTTTTCCATAAATTTTGAAGGGAAATTCTCTCTCGACTTTCTTATTTATTTATACATTACATAAATACATTTTTTAAACCAAAAAAGGACGATTTTTTCCAATGGGAAAAAGCCTTGCTGGAGATGAAAGGCGGCTTCAGACGCCCCTCGGAGGAAGCCGAGACCCACGTCTCGGTGCGACAGCAAGAAAAACAAAGTGGACATTCTTCCTGTGTTCTAAGGCTTTTTTATGCAGATGTGCTTTTCCTTTAATAAATAAATCTCAGCAGAGAAGGCAAAGCGTATTCACATTCGCACAGGGCCATGGTCTGTGTCGACCCAGGGAAACCACAATGACAGATAAGCATATAGAAGTCCATTTTCCCAGCACAGCGACCGACCTCGACATGCCAGCCACAGCCGCCGAAGCAACACACTCTTCAGACGGAAGCCACCCGGCCTTTCCCGATGGACAAAGGACGACCTACCTAGGAGCAAGGGCGATCAGAGCCGCCCTTCCGGGAAAGGCCTGCAGAGGTCCTTCCATGCAACTCCTCGCACTAATGCATGCAGTGGCTGCCTACTCTCTGCGCCACTGAATTTCACTTGTGGACTGCAATAATTATTTTTAAATGATGACACACACTGAGTTAAAATCCGCCTTCTTAGGAGATCCATCCATTGGCCCGAGTTCTACTGGTTGTGAAACCACACGGTAGAACTTGGATCTTTCCTCGACGACCAGCTTTCCAGCTTCTCCACTCATCCCTCTATCGTCGCTTCTGTCCAGGTTTTAACCGTCCTCGGTTCCTTCACAAGGGCATGCGTTCGGCCATCCCCCCGCCCGGGGGCACTCCTACAAACCCGTGTTCCTAAAATGAGCCTGTCGAGCACTCCCAGGTGAACACCACACCCCCAGGAGCGGAATGGGAACGCGGGGACAGCCATCCTGCTCCGGCAAGGCTGCTGCTGCAGACAAACACCCAGCCTGCTGACAGCCACCGCGACAGCCGCACGCGCACTCCAGCCCCTCCACGGGCACTGACACCGCCACGGCTGCACCCGCGACTGAATCGTATTAACCTCAGGCAGAGCCCCACATTTCTCTCCATTAAACCTCCCCTTGCTTTGATCCATGTTTCCACGTGTCGAGATCTTTTTTATATCCTGAATCTGTCCTCATCCTATTAGCTTTGCGCCATCTGCAATTTGCTAAGGAAGCTTTCGGCATCCTACTCTACTGTGAGCCCCTGGCAAAAATGTGGAAGAGGCCGTGACCAAGCTCCGAGCCTTGCACCTACCAGTGGGGACCATGCATCGTGCTGACACTAATATTAATCAAGACCCTTTGGGCATAGCTGCTCGACCAGTTACAAATCCGCCTGACTTGACTATCATTGCATCCACACAGCCTCATCTTAACCACAATTACATCGTGGAAAGACCTGGGCAGAAGCTTCACTGGAGCCACCTGGTCTACCCATTGTGGCACCTGCTCTCCCCTCAGGTTTCTCATTAAGCTCCAGACAAGTGCAAGGCGGCTGAGGAGAAGGGTGGCCCTGGGATTCAGACCTCTGCACAGTGAGAGAAAGACAGAGAAAGAGAGACAGAGATGGGGGGGGAGGGGAGAGCCTAACACTCAAAGGCTACAGCCCTTTGCTTCCAGAAACAATGTGCACTTAGAGAACAATGGCCGCAGACAAAGTCGTGGTCTATTTATATCTGCCACTGTGGGTCCCAGACAGGAGGAACTGGAAGTCTGCCCTGGACACACAGCTCCAACTGGACTGGGGCTGGGAGGAAGATGAGGTCACCAAGAATACTGCCTGCTTCAGAATAGGCTCCTTTTTTGCTCACATAGTTTCTTCTTAGCCTAAAGGATCTCTTTAGCCAAGCTGTTTGCCTGCCTACTGCTAAAATACAGCCGCCGAGAAGACGGTAGGTCAGAGCTGTGACCACTGCTCAGCCCAGCCCCAAGCAGTCAAGACCTTTCTCCGCAGAGGTCAAGGAGGACGGGGCTGTCAGGGGGACCAGCCGGCAGAAGGAGGCCAACTCTACGGCCCCTGAAGTCCTCCCAGGTCGGCCGAGTACACGCTGAGGGTACTATAAACGAGCTTTTCCATGGGAAAGTTCCTCCTCGCTTCTTGGAGCCATCAGAAAGAGGCCGAGAGCTGAAGTCACAGTGGAGATCTCTGCCTCCATTTATTCCGGCCCCTCCGGACGGTTCCTTCATAACTTTGGAGTGACCGTTTCAATCCCTCCCAACTGTGCTACTTAAATTCTTTATCCTCCGAGAGGCTTACAGAAGAGGGCCAGCGGTGGCCACACCAGCCTGTGGCAGGCTGGGGACAGGCAGGCGTGCGCCTGAGGGCAGTCACCTGCGTGCCTGCATGCCTTCCTCGTGAGTCCACCGACAGCCCTCCGCAGTAGCGGGCCACCGGCACTCAGATGGCCCCTCCTGGACCCAGTAAACCACACCACCTGAAGAGCAAAGCAGGAACCCCCAAAGGCAAGAAGTTCGGGGCCTAATACTGACGTCCCCTGAAGAGTCACTTCAGTTCCCACTCCTGCCTGCAAGTTCCTGGCACCGGCTTCCCTTCCTGCCCCTGGAAAACCCCCACCAAGTAGGTCGGGGGCAACCTAGACGAGATCATTTTCTTCCTTTTCACGTGGATGGCTTAGGACCGCTTCGTTGAGACGGTCCCAGGTAAAGTCGGCACAGCGCGAGGGAAGCCGACGATGTTTGATCCTGCGAAAGCTGAAGCACGGAGCACGTGTGTGCTGAGCACGGCTGGGGCCAGTGCAGCCCGCGCGTGGGGGACAGTAACCTGCTGTGTTCCCTCCCCACCCCGCTCACTGACTTCACAAGTGCGGGCCTCACATGTTTAGGGCCCACCATCTGCCGGGTGGTCTCATAAACCCGAATCGCCAGCATAACATAACATGGGCCAGGCCACAACCGGCAGACACTCATATGCCTCCTTCTGAGCAGGTGGTGGAGACTCAAACCTTCTCGACTACTAAAATACACCGAACTAGGAAGATCTTAAGTGGGTGCACGGGCCACCTCACCTGGTCCAGAACCACTTCCCCCACCTCCTGCTTCCAACAGGCTAAACACTCCCTTCTTCTCCAAGGGCCCTGCTGAATCATCCCAGTAATTCAAGAGAGCCACGTGGGAGCCACATGGCAGGAGCAGGGAGAAGGGAGGCAGAGACACACACTGCCACCCTGCAGCCAGGCTGACATCAGAGAAGACGCAAAACTTCCCACCAGAGTGTTTGGCAAGTGCATGAGTCAGCCCGTCTCTGCTCCTATCGCAGGCTTCAAACGCGCCTGCACACGAGCTCCCTGCACCAGAAACAATGGCACTCCCTAACAGGGAACATCTGGAGCTCGCAGTATCGGGCTCCGCATGCTCGACAACTCATGAAATCAGGGCCCCGCTCCTTCAATAAATCCAAACCCATGTCCGTAATGAGGAGTCAGAAATCCTGTTGCTTTAAGGGATTTGGGTAATAACTTCAGAGTCCCAGCTCAAGTTTCCTGAGCTGCTAAGGAGGTACTAGGACCCAGAGAGATGGCAGCAAAGGGATGATGGGTATTCTCCCTAAACCAGGAAGTTCACCTCTAAACCCATCATCTGTGGCTACGCCCAAGTCTGTCCAGACCTACCTCATCTGTAATTTTGGTCCCTCTCTCTCTTCAGCTTTGACCACTTTTACGGCCTTGAGAAGTAACTCTCACCCCGTGCACTGTACGTGTGTGCTCATGCTTTTCCCGGTCTCTGCTCCTCCGTGCCACCCTCGCCACGGCCGTGGGATGCACGGTCTTTACCCAGGGCCAAAGCAGCAAAGAGCAATTGACAGCATTTCTATATAACTTAACAGCTCCTTGGAGGTGTGTGTTCCTCCCTGGCTACGAAGACGAATGAAGAGCAGGTCCCTGTAGAGGGAGGGGAGCCGAGCTCCGCCACTGGCCCCACACGACCCCCGGGACGAAGGCACTGAGACATGACCTCGTGCAAACCCTTTCTTTTACCAGTGGAGACAAGAAAGCTCCAGGTCACGTGGTTTCTGGTTCTAGACGCCGTGCCCCCGTGCAGTGTTTTTCTTTCCTCTGCACTGCTGCTGTTTACTTATTCACATTTTCGCTGCTATCGGTCTCTGCACCTTCACTCTGGACAAACACGGCTCCGCCCCAAGTTCCTAGGAACCACAGAACCCATCCGAAGGTCTAACGAACACGGCAGGACTTTCCAGCCCCAGGACCCCACCTGTTTCCACTCCAGGTGAGCAGTTTTCAACAATGGTCAGGCTCCACTGGAGAGGTTTCTGTGGAGCGGAGACCCCAGGGAATACCGGCGACGGTGAAGCAGCCATCCTGCAATCGCAGAACGCCACTCCGTACGACAGCTCTCAAATGTGAGCGCTCTCCTACCCACCCAGAAAGAGTGAAGGCAGCAGCCCGTGTCGGTGATCTATGGACCTCTGTCTGAAAAGCACCGAGAACAGACCACCGTTGTGGCATTCGAAGGTCCTCTACTGCCATTCCAGTCCTGCCTGCACTGCAGGTCGGGTACTGGACACAGCGGTGGGGCTGAGGGGAAACAACCCCGCCAAAGCCAGACGGAACATAAACTCAGTGGCACTGGCCTGTATGTTGAACCCGACACAGCTAAGTGATGAGGTCATAGGTGCAACTCAGAAAGGCCATGTCCTGAAGCAATGCAAGCAGCGCCAGGTCCGAATGCAAATGCATTTGGAGCTCAGGGAGCTAACAGTTCGAGGAAAGACATGCTCTGCTGTGCTCTCTTTCAGCCTCTGTCCTTTCAGAATGGGCTTGTCCTAATGTCCCCACACCTAGCTTTGGATATTCTCGCAGCCCCACTGTGGCCCCGAGCCTCACCCACGCTGGCCCGGAGCAGACAGCATCATACACGTCTCCCAGTGGCCAACGCAAGCAGCGGGCAAGTCGCCAGAAAGGCCTAATGTCCAGATCAGTGGGCATGACAGGCCAATGGGTGGAGCGCAGAGCAAAAGTAATCAGTGCAAAAGGGGGAGGGAGCAGAAGCCACTTTCCATCTGCCTGCCCGCGTCAGGTGGGAAGGCAGAGACTGGGATGCACTGCCCTCATCCGCCCTAATAAATGGGTCGGCCTCGTCAGGAAACCATTAGGAAATTGCAGCCACCACAGCCCCGAGCCCAGACTGAGTAGCGTGCACACAGCTGGTGAAAGCACTCATTATCTCTGCCCAGACTGACACCCGCTCGCTGCACGGTGGCACCTAACCAAGTGAGCCACCAGAGTCAAGCTGGGCGGACGGGGAGGGAGGGGGATGGAAAAGGTGCCCCAGGCACGCGCTCGGGGCATCAGGCAGAAGGCGTCCACCTCCTCACATGCCCTGCTCCACAGCCTCACCCACCGGCATCCCTTCCCTCGGAATGACCCGCTGACTGCTGGTGGGCATGGGGTTTCTCCTGAGAGTGATTGATGCAAACGTATTGGGATTAGGTCCCGGTGATGGCTGCACAACTCTGAGAACGTCCCGAAAACCGCCCAACTGTACACTTTCAAATGGTGACTGGTGTTAGAGCAATTACCTCGCAATAAAAACAAATACATTTCAAAAACAGCCAGTGAGCCCCATGCTAGGGGCCCGGCAATGTGAGTACGTGGGTGCCTGGCTGACAGGGACCCTGCCCTTGGACTTGCCTCCCGGTGGAGGAGAGCCACCCACTGGCCCGCGGGGAGCACTGTGCTGGTGGGAGCCGGGCTCTCGCCTGGAGCCGGGCGGTGCGCTGGCCTCCACAGCCAAGCGGGCAGGAAAGCCTGCTCGTGTCCTCAGTGGAGAGGGCGGAGGAGAGGCGGGGCCAGGTGTCAAGGAGAACTCTAGTAACAGGTGGACGAACCCGGGCGAGGGAAGACGGGGGGCGAGGGGACCTCTGCCGCCACACGGAAGCCCTGTGAGACAGCAGCCAGGCCGGTCCATTTCCCCGGGCAGACTCCTGGTGTCTACAACTTCTGGGACCACGGACATGGGGGCTGTGGGCCCGGATTCCAGGCTACCTCTTAGCGGGATACCTCTAACTCCCCACCCCCACAGGCGTCCCCAGCAGAGGCTGCCCAAGCCCTTGTGTACAGTGATGCTGCGTTTGTATATTTCTATGTTGAAGACTTTCAGGGCAAAGGAATCTCCCTCAGACCTGGCTCCTTCTGGAGATTCAGCTCCAACCCCTGGGGGGAGATGAAGGAAGGGCAGGTAGGACAGGGCTCCTGGCAAACACACACTCGGCCAGGCTCGCTGGACACGAACCGGGAAAGGTGCAGTCATCACACTGTGACCCGAGGGATCTTTTGGAAAATTCTTTTCCAAGAGGGGTTATGAGTTTTGTCCCCTGGAATGCCCCAGAGCAGTTCTGATTGGCTCCCTGGCCCTGACTCAGATGGAGCTCGGCTCCACCCTCCCATGAGGAAATAAACTGACCCAAGGAACGGAGGAGGGAGGGCTGGAGAGAGCAGGAGAGAGGGGGCAGGAGGAGCAGGCAAGTGCTGACTCTGGTTCGGGGAACACACGGATGAAATTTCGAGGCCGTTCCAGAGACGGGCGGTATGGCAGAATTCGGGACCGACTTCTCTGGGCCTTACTTACACTACTCCAGTTGGGATACAGCCCTGCCCTGGCAGCCAGCTCATTGCTGCTTTATAATATACTGAATTAGTCACTGGATTAGCAAGCACATTTACACACATTGGCGCACAGCTGTTTAAAGACACAGGACTCCCTTTTCTAGGTGCCAGATTCTGGCTGTAAATCAACCACCGCAAGCGGCAACTGGCATTCTCCAGAGGTGCCCGGTTCCTACGGTCGCAAAGCACTTCGGGAAATGTCTGTTAGAACTGGGAAGATCTAACAGGCCTTGGCTGGGGGACAGAAGGGACAGGGGGGTAGAGAGGCAAAGACAGGGGGCTTTTTCAGCCCCAAGGCTCATTGTCTTCAGGAGGTTGCCAAATGGATTCACTGGCCTGGCCCCTCAGCAGGTTGACACGGGAGGCGGCCTGGCTGGTGTAGTGACAGCAGTGAGGACACAAGTCCCACTCCTGACTCACTGTGTCAACAGGGAGTCGAGTCTTCCTCCTAAACCTCAGAGGCCCAAGTCACTCCCAGAAAATAAAAAAAAGGGGGGGTTCCAGGGCAAAGAGGAGAGCAGTTCAGCGACTGTACCCTGAGAAGGACCATTCAGGAAAAGGCCTTGTTCACATGAAGGGGACCCAGGCTCTAACCAGCTTCGGTAAGAGTGCGTGAGAGGAAGAAATTATTGCACTGGCCACAGGGCCTGCTCTGGCCCACTTGGTTATGGGGGTGTCAAGTGGAAAATTTTCTGTAACCAGGTTAACAATAACCACAGTTTTAACAACCACTGAAGTAATAACAGCCCTGTCAGCAATAAACATTTGTACAAAATACGGTGCCCGCAAGACAGTGATAAAATACCGTCCCCTGCGGCAGTGAAAAAGTATTTTACAGGAATTATCTCACATCCTTACCATAGCCCAGCAAGCCCTTTCTTACTGCCTCCATTGTAAGGATCAGAGAAGACAGGCTTAGGGGAGTTACACACTAGGACAAATCAGCAGGCAGAAATCCTGAATTCAAACCCGGCAGTCTCACCTCCTGACCTACTTTGTCCAGGACACCAGGGCACCTGCAGTGAGGGACATCTTATGACCAAAATAACAAATGAGAGGTGTGATTCAGGGACAAAGATTACTTTCTATGGAGCAACCCAGATGTACAGCCCTTCCCTTGAACTTGGAGGTCTCCTCTGGTCTATATTTTAAGATTATGGTAAGAACCCTGTGGCACAAACAAATGCATCAGATGAATACGCGAACCAAGTCCCGATTACTAAAAGGGTGCATTGCATTTAGGCTCATTAGCACAGGAATTTTGAGAAGACTGGCAAATAGACTCATGACTGGTTTGTACTATAGAAGCCTAGTATGTATCTTGCCCCAGCTTTCAGAAATTCAAATAGTAATTCCCTGGAATTGGTTTGCCCATAAAAACACTGAAAATATTCTCTTCTTGCAAAGCCAGGCAGCTGGGCCAGGACTCGTCTCTGCTCCTCCCTGGCTGTCTGCAGTGTGCCTGTGAGCAGCACAGCTGGCCAGACCCTGGGAATCGAGCACACGTTGCCAGGGCCCGGGCACATTTCACAGGCGACGTCGCTGTTTTGTTCAGCTGGCACCCAACACCCTTTGGAGACAATGCAACCAGCCTGGAAATTCACATTTCTCCCATCAGCCCATCCATACAGAACAGTATAGGTTAGGGCATGGAAAAGCCAGGGCGCTCCTCTGAGAGAGGCCTACAAAAGTCCAGAAGTAAATAAGTACATATATAATGCACGCATTCATACATACATACATACATATATACATATATACATACATACATACATACTTTTTAATCTCCAACCAAACGAGAGGTCAACTCCAGGTCCACCAGGTAGCTACTGATCCCTTCCGTGTGTGTCTGTTTTTCTACAGACATTCCTGTTGTATCAAGCAGCCTCAAGGCCTAGACTTGTGCCTCCAAACAGCTCCTCCCTGGAGAAGCCTCCAGCACAGGCAAAGCTCTTACCCCATTCCTCAGTTTCCCAATCTGGAAAATGGAGGCCAAAGCACTAAATCTGTACACAAATTTAGTCGATTTAGTTAGCTGCTTTTCATTTGTCCATTTTGAATTTGAAACTGCAAAGGAGAAATTATGTGAACTGTTTTTTTGTTTTTTTTTATTTCTCTCTATTACACACCTCAATGGTCAGCATTTATAGACATCCTGAATGTTGTCTTCCTTACCCTGATATCATGAGTAGCCCAAAAAGCACACCACACAGAAGAATGTTCCAAGAATCAAAGCCTCTGATGAGAATATTGGCAAATTTTCTCTCCAAACAGATTCTAAGTGTGTAGGACGTCGTAATTAGAAAGCTCTAAGTTCAAATTTGTGACTTCAAAGCCCTCTGACCTTGGGGAAATTATCTGAGCCTTTTCGAGACACAATTTGTTATCTTCACAGGTTGTCTGAAGAATGGGAGTGTTTGTGTAACGTTCTGACCAAGTGCCCAGCACATGGTAGGTGCTCTATAAATATGTTCCACTTCCCCCACTCCTCCCAACTGAACACAGACATACACAGAGGCCAAAAACAAACACCCAGCAGTTTTGAAGAACATTTGGTTTCCATTAGGAGGCAAGAAAGGTGTGAGATTGAACTCTTGATCTTATGTGAAATCAAGGATGCATTTCCTGTACACGCACACACGTGACTCACCCTTAGAGAGCCCGCGTGTATTCAGAATCACAGCTCTGGGTGATTCAATAACACTCCTGCATCACCAGCGACTCCTGAGCACCTTCGAAGCGTGAACGCATTCATTTCCCCCTCTCTCCCGACGAAAGGCAGCTCGCTCACTAGGAGCGCCCTTTCCCGGGAAGAATACAGAGATCAGTCAGAGATGTGGCTATAATCCGGCAGCTCAGAGCAAAAGCAGACTCAGGTATCCTGATTCTCACTCAGGCAATCAAAGGTCAAAGGACGAACACCTATAGGCGATTGTCAGCCCAGAAAATGTTCAAGCTATTTGCAAGTGGGAGCATGAGCCAGAGGCCTGAATACCTGTTTGAGGAGACACACTAAGATTTGCTCTATAAACCAGAATTTCCCTGGCATCAAAGTTAGTGCCCAGATTCAAACAGGCCAAGCTTAAAACGACTGTCTCCATTTTTGCTGCGAGCAGGTGTACCTCCCGCGGCTTCCCACCCTCACCTCCTCTTCCCCAATCATCCTGCGGCCTCCAAGGGCACTGCTGGCTACTCAGAATTACGCCACTCCCAGGGAAACAGTAACATGCAACAGGACCCTTCACAAGGTAACAACCAGTGGTCTGGCCTTGGGATGATCTGGTTTCCAGAATGAACAAAACAAGGAGGGAGGAGACTGAATTTACTGCTAAGAAGCAGCGCGTAGTATTGAGGGGATCATCTATAATAACTTCACTAGACTCTGTGTATGTATCTGGTGCCATGGCAAATGTCCCAAGTCCAAACAGAAACTGACAGGGATCGGGGGTGGGGGAGGGGCTCACACCTCCAAGTGATATCATTAATTCTTATATGCTCTGTGGCACAATTCTTTCCCATAACATGCAGTATGAGATTCAAAAGTTTCTGGTGTTTTTGTTTTTTTCTGAAGTGCCCCTCCAGTTACCTGAAGGTCCTACCTGTCATGAAAGTGGACCTCGGTGGCTAACAACAGTAAACTAAGGCATAGAAGATCAAAGCTATGCGCCATACATTTCAACATAAGAAAACAGAGGTGGGACAGAAATTTTCAAAACTCTTTAGTTTTAAAAAAAAAATGCATTGCTCAAAGTCCAAGGGCAACCTATGCCAGCAGGAAATTGCATATCTGTCTAGTAGCCTGTGAAATAACCCATGTGTTGGTTTTTTTTTTTCACTTCTTGAGAAGGAACTAACTTGCCATCTTACTTAAAGGCTGGCCAGAGCCTTGGCAGCATGGAGAACTCTGCAAAGTTTCCTGATCTCCTGTCACAGTGACCTGAGCAATCCACTCAACACTCAATTA